GTATTGTGTGTTTCGGCCATATTTCAAGTGTGACAGGAGCAATATTGCCCAATTTCTCCGTCTTGTCTGATATGAGGTGTTAGGTTCGGTATTGAGCGCATCTGTGGCCCTGTGTAAGTCCAAGGGGACTTGGCAGAGAAGAGACTACCAAAACACAAATAGGTTATGAAAAATATTGGAAGAAGTGTAACAAAGGCTAGGAGAAACGAGGAAATCAAAATAAGAAATAGTATCACATGGCACTAAGAAATAACTACATATCATAAATAAAGTCCGAAGTTTTGCTCGTTTCTTTCTGGGTTCTGTTATTCTTGGTGATTATCGAAGTTACTTGTAACATGACGGTCTCTGTTCTACACCGCAGTTGCTTTGCTCACTCGAATTAACGGAACACAAAGAGTCAGGTTAAATTTTATAACATTCTTACTGTAATAGTCAGAGTTACTGGGGTTTCGCAAAATTTTCACTTTTTCTATGCAGTGGTGCTCATGCACTTGGTTTTGTTGGCTACGTTTGTAGCATAAATTTCTACCTCCATTTCCATCCTAGTTCCACGAATGTGCATGCTCTATCACAATTGTTATTCTATATTTTCCTGTTATTTCCCCCTGAATTAGCTTGGTCTCAGGCAATTAAATAGCTGTAGTGAATCTGACAGGGGCTGTCCAGTGATTGAGGTTAGCTCTTTCTAAGGGATCCAACAGAGTAGGTGTTCCCCCTCATCCGAGGAAGAAAACAGATCCAATTTCCGAAACATTGTGTTTTCTAGCCTCTAGAATACCGGACGATGGACAAAGTCCGGAAAATAAGTAATTCTGAGTATTAAACATACCATCGTCAGAACCCTTTAGAACCTAATTATTACTGTAAGTCTGTACGTCTTAACCTTTTCGGGGTAGCGCAGTCGGTATAGCGACTGCCTACGGGCTGGACGACCGAACGGTCGGAGTTCGAGTCCCGGTAGAGTTAAGAATTTTCTCTTCTACATATGGTGAGACCGGCTGTGGGGCCCACCTAGCCTCCTATCCAGTGAGTACCGGGAACCCTTTCCCCGGGGGTAAAGCGGCCGGGACGAGAAACTGACCACCCAACTCAAGGTAGTGCCGAGGTCAAGTATGGATCTATACATCAGCTCCTCCATACGCCTTCATGGCTTAGAGCTTAATTAGTTTAGCACAGGGACAACTTTACCTTTTACCTTTCTCATACATTTAAGCCTCTGTTAGGCTAACTGCCGTTACAACGGTAATACGGTTATGTAACTGCAAGAAATAGCCTCTGGGAAGAGTTCATGAGGTGTACATTCCTTCAATTTCTCAGTTTGATTACGTGAGAAGGCTACCAAGAACCATAAATTAATAGTTACACAATTGAATAATCCATTTGTGCACATAATTTTCACTAGCACGTGTTTACATTTGTCTGATATAACCTAGAATTTTAGTATCTAAGCACTGTTTGTTATTGCTATCACATAACTGGGAATACGCACAGAATACATTCCTACTGCATATATTTATATTCATACTCGTCTATTATCATTATTATTATTTTGTTTCATTTTATTTGCGTGTAAAGTGCCTGTTCAGATCCTGTCTACGTTAAATTTGTCATATATATAACCACAAAGTTTCGCGCTGTTGTCATGTTTGTAAATGTTCGCTTGCATAAGTTGTTATTTTACTTTATCCAAAAAAGTGTCATAAAAAAGAGGCCTATGCACATTTTCTAAGATCTGTTACCCTACATCATACCATGGACATAGGTCAAGAAGCGCTAGCGTTGTTCCCGCGACCGCCATGTTGTTGCTGATTGTACGAAGTCAAAGCGTACAGCGTCGAGGTGGCCTCCAGTTCATAACATTTCCTTGAAAGTCGGTAATTTGTTCCAAACTTGAAAGGCTCGATAGACATATAGCAAGGGCCATATGCAATAAGGTGACGTCATGTCTAGTTTCTGTCCTTAAGAAAGGAAAGCAAAGTAAGAAAAAGACTTCAGATAGAACATGCAGGAGCTTTCTCAGCCATGTCCTTACGATAATTCCACATAAAACCGAAGGACACAAAAATTACCTCCTACACCATGTCGTTAATTTATATTATAGGAAATTTAACCATAAAATTTTATGCTAAAACTGACAGGCAGTTAGCTTTGTAAGTGACTGGCCGCGCCACAGCTCAAGCGGTTAGTCGATGGCTTCCCACCGCTGAGGCCCGGGTTCGATCCCGGGGTCTGGTCAAGTGGGATTTATGGTGGAGAAAGTGGCGTTGGGGGAGGTTTTCTCCGAATACTTTGGTTTCCCCTGCCAATCTTCATTCCACCAATTGATCCACAATCACCCTCACCTATCATCTGGGGCTGGTACAATAGGCCAGAAGTGGCCGCAATACAAGGGACTTAGTCTCACCCCACTAGCAAAAAAATAAATCTTCGTAAGTGTATAGTGCTAAGGGAACTGTAATAATCCGGTACTAGTTATATTTCTAGGTTGTCTTTCGATATTATTATAACGTAAAAAAAGGTAAGAAGAGTAAAGTTATCCTTATCATAAGCGGCGAAGGCCCATAGGACTGTGAGGCGTCCAGAGAATCAAATCACAGATGGAGGCGAGGTTGTCAGGCTTACTCGCCGGCCGCCTTTTACCTCCCAGGAAGTTTGCTGGTACTCATTTCTGTTAGAGACTGAGTCGACCTCAGGCGGCTGGAAGGATTACGACAATTGGAGAATTTCAACGACCTGATCAGTAATGGAACCCACGACCTTTGGAGTTGTAGCACAGTGCCTCAACCAATTACGCTACTGCGTATTCAGGTGACTCGATTATTTACAACACAGTTCAGTTGACACAGGATAAGTTACGGGCAGAGGACAAATTTTTCATAAATGTTTTGATTTAAGGAAAAAAGTATTTTTTTTTTATTTTTAGTGGGGTGGGACTAAGTCCCTTGTACTGCGGCCACTTCTGGCCTATTGTACCAGCCCCAGATGATAGGTGAGGGTGATTGTGGAGCAATTGGTGGAATGAAGATTGGCAAGGGAAACCGAAGTACTCGGAGAAAACCTTACCCAGCGCCACTTTGTCCACCACAAATCCCACTTGACCAGACCCGGGATCGAAACCGGGCCTCCGCGGTGAGAAGCCAGCGACTAACCGCTTGAGCTATGGCGCGGCCAAGGAACAAAGTAAATAGTACATAAGTAAATAAGGTCTAAAAGTTTATGACGATGGTGCACCAGTACAAATATGTTTCTGGACATTATCCATCGTCCTGTTTTTATCTAAAAACACTGTCTTGAATTTAAAAGTCTGCAACTCCGTCAGGTATAGGTTGAATATGAAAATTTGGTTTTCTTATGTTGGTACCGTAAGGAGCATTTCTTCTCTTCACTGATGATTTCTATTTTAATAGTTTTTTAGCTCTCGCAGGTGGTTCGTGCTGTATGCTTGTACACCCCATCTTGGTGCTGGTATAGGTGTGCGGAGATAGGGACTAGCTCCATCGATTGGGATCAACTGAGTAGGTTTAACCTGACGACGGAGACAGAATCCAGTCTCCGAAACGTTGTGTTTTGAAAAATAAACATGACTGTGTTTTAAGATAAAGATAAGATGATGGATAATGTCCAGAAACATAATATTTGTACAAATACACAAATAGTTTATTTTTCTTTCTTTCTCAATCCGTTCCTTTAATACCTTTTCGGCGTTGAGGTTGTTTTTTTATCATTTTACAGACGGTAGACTCCTTGGACGAGTGATCAGCTCATCGCAAGGCATCTACATAATCACAGGACAACACAAACACAGAATAAACAAATACACACACCAAACATCCGTGCCTTGTGTGGGATTCGAACCCACGCTCCCGGCTTCCGAGCGATCGAAGACAGTACATGCGTTAGACCGCTCGGCTACCGTGACCAACTAAATAGTTTATTACAGACAGTAAATACAATACTACGTATAATGTAATTCAGACTTCAGTAAGTGCAGCATAGATCTGTCACGGATTCATTAAATAATCCATCATCTTTAAAACATGTTCACATACGCTGTGTAAGTATCTTAAATTCCCAGTATTGTTGATTTACGTGAAGTAATCAGTTTGTCCTTTCCAGAAATTGAGATGGTTCGTGACAGATCAAATGTAGCGATGTTTCAATAGAGTGGATTTGATACCTGAAAGCCAGACTGTACTAGGAAAGAGTGCATAGCTGTGGGGGGGGGGAGATTGATTTAATTCATTACACGAGGCAAGAGGTAGGTTTCTTAACAGCACGTCTCACCAGGCAAGGTAACATTATCAGAGTAGCCAGAGACCGCTCCGCGACATCACGTACAACGGGCGTCATCTAATTTTCTTACTTCACCAAATGCAGAGAAATAAGACACGGATAGATGGGAAAGAGACGATAATTTTCATCTTGGTTGAAGCCTGTGAAAGTTGGAGTTAGATGGAGCTCAATATACGCCTGTGTTTTTCCTTTTATCATTTCTTTTTTCAGACCTAATATAATACTTTATGTTCACTCACTCACGGTGAGAAGAAGAAGAAGAAGAAGAGCTGAGCTCTTCCTGAGAATCCTTAATTATGCAGATATTCGAGAACTTCCGTTATGGAACTCGAATATTCATTACCATGTTCACAAGAGCCCTCCACTTGTCCCTATCCTGAACCAGATCAATCCAATCCATACGACTTCATGTCTAGACTTCTTCAGTCTGTAAAAGTACTACGCCTTATGGTCCAGTAATTTCAGCATCATGTATACATACTGCCTTCATCTACAGGGTAAAATTTTGAGTGTCTTCGACACTCAAAATGCAGGCTATATGTTTCTCCGAAACGTCTTCGAAATTTACCGGACTATACGGCCTTATATCCTATAAGAATGTAGGTCCGTCCTCTAGGTAGACTAGTTAGCTCGTTAAGGTTTCTGTAGCGTCTCCTTCCTTAATCTAATCTATAATTATTACTGGAAATATGTTTCTGTTGCAGGTGGACCGGTCAGACCTCGTTCAGTCGCCGGAATCGCCATGGAAATGTTCGAGCAACATCAGGGAACACACATCTTGCAAGTACGTTGCTTATACATGGCTGAGTAGGCTTGCTTCACAAACACTCTAAATGGTTTCTTCTCGATAACACTGTTGGTATTATGTTAGAGTAAGTAAAGTAAAAGTAAGAAGTAAAGCTATCCCTGTAACAGGCCGTGGAGGCCCATAGGTTTGTGAGACGTCGAGGCTCCCACATTTTGTAGGCAATCGGCTCACAGATGGCGATGAGGTCAGCCTTACGCGCCGGCCGCCCTTTGCCCCCAAGAATATTCCTGGTGCTCATTTCTGTTAGAGGTTGAGTCTACCCCAGGCCCATAGTGCGTCTGGAAGGATTAGGTCAATTGAAAAAAATCCAATGACCTCATCGGGATTCGATCTCGCGACCATCCGGCTTGTAGGATAGTGCCTCACCGCGTACCCCATTATGTTAGAGACCAGCACTTAAAGTGCTAACGTCGAGACTACGCAGCAGGACGTAGACTGTTCTGAACAGAGAGATTTCGTGCTTTTCCTCAGTCCCCTCCTGTCGTATGACGGCACCATGCTTCCTTTTCTGTCCTTTGAAACTTTATCCATAGCAGTCACCTTGCCACAAGTAAGTTTGCAATGGATACTGCTTCCTGTTATGTTGGTGTCCGCATACCTACTAAGTAAATTAGAGGTGCTATAAGCGGAAGGTCACGCGTTCGGGTCCCGATGAGGTGGATTTTTTTTTTTCAATTTACCTATCCTTCCAGGCGCACTAAGGCCCTGGGGTCGACTCGACCTCTAACAGAAATGAGGACCAGGAACCTTCCTGGGGGTAAAGGGCGGCCGGCGAGTAAAGCTGACAACCTTACCGCCATCTGTGAGCCGATTTTCTAAAGGAAGTGTGGGAACCTCGACATCTCACAACCCTATGAGCCTTCACAGCCAGTTAGAGGGATGGTTTTCCACCTTTAACGTCAGTAATGTCTCAAGACTTAAGCCTTCGACAAGGTACCTCACAGCTGAAAATGTCTGCAAATCTTTGGACGTTTTCAATAAACATAACATCTCTCTTGAGGATACATTTTCCTTTGTTTAACCATAATGAGTTACGTCATTATCGTGTTACCTTTATTACTCGTATATTATTATTTAGTATTAAATTTTAGCCTAGTTCTAGCCTTAGTCAAGATTTTGTTATGTATACTTTAAGCGCTCGCCTGTTATAGGCCACTTGCTGCTGGCGAGCACTTAAAGGAAATGAACTGAATGATCCATCCTTCTGCAGAGCCAAGTCCTATAAAGTTTGCCTCTTATGCCGCAACCAAAAAGGGGTTGAAGTTGTTTGTTTCTCAAAGGCATTGCTTTTTTGTACTGGATTAGATCTATCTTTAGTAATGTTTCTCGGAGTGAATTACCTTTTGTCATGTCCATCTGTTCATATGTATATAACAGCAATATGCTCATATTCTAAGAGAGGGAAAGGAATTTCCCTCAATCATCAGTGTGTCTAGAACGGCTATGTGGCACATCCATTCTCCTAACAAACGGCTCTCCATCCGGGGGAAAGGCGGCTGGAGCTTGAAATTGATCACTCGTCTCCATCTAGAGCCGAGACCTACAATCTCTATAGTCCTACATCAATACCCTTAGGCGACTTAGTCACATGGTCACGTTTCCTTGCCGCACACAGTCTGCTCACATTGCGCCGAACCGCATGGCTCAGAGTTCTTCTCTTTTATGGGTTATTTTACAACTTTGTCACTAACTGGACTCTGTAGCGTCGCATTTTAGATGATTGCTTGGTAATAAATTAGAAATTATTTGCAAGGAAGCAGTCGTAACTTGGTTGTATCCCGTAGGACTAAGGAAAACCATGAAAAATAGCAAGTAGGATAGCCGGTATCCCGGATGTCATTCGAATCAAGAGAATTGTCGGTGCGCCAGTCAGCTCAGCGGTATGTTCGCTAGTTGATATTCCCCGCCTTTATATCATCCGAATGTTCATTGCCGTGTTCACAAGAGCCCGCCACTAGGGCTTTATTCAGAGCCACTTGAGTCCAACTCACATCCTCGCGTCCTGTTTCTTTGTGAATGTTTCAGCACGCGGTAGCGCAGTTCGTTGAAGCAATATTCTTCAAGCCGGAAGGTCGCGGGTTCCATTCCTGATGAGATCATTGAATTTCTTTCAATTGACCTACTCCTTCCAGCCGCACTGTGACCATGGGGTCGACTCAGCCTCTAACATAAATGATTACCAGGAATCTTCTCGGATGTAAAGGGCGGCCGGCGCGTAAGGCTGATAACCTCACCGCCATCTATGAGCAGATTGTATAGAAAATGTGGGAGCCTCGATGTCTCACAACCCTATGGGCCTCCACGGCCTGTTACAGGGAGAGCTTTACCATTTTTGTCTTTCACTTATTTCAATATTAATCTTCATTCCGGTCAATTTTTCGTACAAGGTACATTCTTTTCACATTTTCCGACTAAATTTTCACGGGATTCTTGGATCACCTTAGTGCGTGGTAGGTGTCTTGCGCACCGTCCTTTACCTGATATGTCAACCCCATAATAATATTTTGAGAAGAAAGCAAATTGTCAAGCTCTTCATCGGGAAAGTGTCTCCATCCATGAGGTCTTCTGCAACATTTCCCAACACTGTAATTTGGCCACGCCATAGCTCAAGCGGTTAGTCGCTGGCTTCCCACCGCTGCGGCCCGGGTTCGATCCCGGGTCTGGTCAAGTGGGATTTGTGGTGGACAAAGTGGCGCTGGGGCAGGTTTTCTCCGAGTATTTCTGTTTCCCCTGCCAATCTTCATTCCACCAATTGCTCCACAATCACCCTCACCTATCATCTGGGGCTGGTACAATAGGCCAGAAGTGGCCGCAGTACAAGGGGCTTAGTCCCACCCCACTAGCAAGAAAAGAACACTGTAATTTTCTGTGATAAAGAGTTCTATAAGCCTATTTCGTATCTGGAGGAGCACCCCTTGTCGAGGAACCGAACAACTTGCATATTCATGACACTTTCCGTACTTAGATTATAAAATTATAAATTATAAATTAGATTATAAAATGTTCTGTGAAAATAATTTATACTTGTACATAATTCCTCATAATTATTCCCATGCTTTCTTGATGATAAGACTTCTGTCAAGTGAATTATTTTGAAGCACTTTGCAGTAAGTCACAACCACAGAAGTAGCTCATACCTTTCCAGTAACGGGTGAACTGCACTCATAATGAAATACTTAAGAAGTTTATGCCATTTAACAAAAATATTAACAACTTAACCATAAAATAGATGCTTTCTATTTATTATTTTCACGTTGCATATGTTTTCATATACTATGCGAATATCCCTGTGTAAATTTTGATGGCAGAAAAATATCAGAAGCAGCAGCGACGGCCAGAGACTAAGTCTTTTTCTCTTCCGCCCAACCAATTTGTGAAACTCTTCTTCGTCCTTTTTTTTTTCTGAGCTGACGTCTGCTCCCTCCGGTGTATAAAGAATGGTTCTAACGTCGTGACACGAATAACTACAAGCCAGTAACATGGGTGAGGCTACCATCAGGGTCGTGTGAAGAGGCACCCCCAGCATCTCCCTTCTTACCAAGTTTATGTGCGAAGGATTTTCTTAAAAACGAGCGCTTGGTTGGTGGCATTTTTTATTTTACCTTTGGTATAGTATTATAATAATGCCTCATATAGAGATTACGGGATGCTTCATTATAATTTTTTGATAGAAGTAATTGATTTTAATGGAAGGGAGTTGAGGAATGATTTCAGACGTTACCTAGTCCCGTAGAATGATGCTTCTATAAAATCTGTTATGTTTCTGTGTCATGTCAGCTATCATCTAGTCTATTCCCATGTTCACCTTTGTAAAATCATTGTTTGTGATATTCTATTGAATACTCTCTATATGAATGACTTACAGAGCCTATTTTCGTGACGTGTGGATGGCGTTAGGGTTCAGCTTCATAACATGTACTCTTCTCCAAGTATAATTAGAATGGTCAAGTCAAGGCGGATGATATGGGTAGGGTATGTAGCAGAAATGGGGGAGAAAAGGAATGCATATAGAATATTGGTGGCAAAGCCAGAAGGAAGAAGACCACTGGGAAGACCAAAGCGTAGGTGCGTGAACAATATTAAAATGGATCCTAGAGAGATAGGATTGAATGGTATGGGTTGGATTGATCAGGCTCAGGATAGGGACCAGTGGAGATCTCTTGTGAACACGGTAATGAGCCTTCGGGTTCCATAAAATGCTGGTGTTTCTTGACTAGTTGCGCAATTGGCGGCTTTTCAAGAAGGGCTCAGTTCCATGAGTGAGTGAATGAGTAGATGGCGTTAATAAATTTACCAGTTTCATCTCTCCTGTTCTGATTGTTGATCGTAATTGTGAGGTCGAATCTGTTGGCATATTTCATGGCCGTCACTACTTTATATATTCTGATGAAATTTTGTATTGAGGGTCTACGTTAAACATTGTCAGGGCAATTTGGCTGCGGGTCATGTCGGCCAAATTTAACCTCAACCTTACGTGAAAATCGAATCAAATTCTGTGGATCTCCTCTGCAACTGCTCCTCTTATAAAAGTGGATACGGCTTAAAATAGGAGATTCATCAGAATATGAAACTTTTGCCGTGAAAGTCTTTTGCTGTGTTGAATATTTTCTGAAATATGAGTAAAATGTTTTCTGGCTCCATTCAGTGCAATATCCGTGCCGTAATTAGCTCTCACGCAGTGGGGTTGAGTCTGCAGTCAGCAAACATCAATGCAAATGAGACGTGGAAAATATAAATAACATATTCAGAAAATTATATGGCATGTAGAACCATTGCTAGACAACGACCGCGAAATAAGCAGCTATAGAACAGCCGTTGCTAGGTAATTGCTTTGTAAACAACAGCCGTTACTAGGTAATAACCGCAACCGACAGACACGCAATAATAGAACTGTTGGAAGCGGTGTATCCTGTGCAGTCCGTGCTGAGACTATATAACGAGGAGCAGAGAATGTTACATAAGGACTACTACTGCAAGAGTTCAGGTGGAAAAAATCTCTGGTCTTGGGCCTCAAGGGGCCTGAAGCCAAGACGAACTGATTGGCGGTAAACCACCAGTGGTGAAGTCTTTGGCCCTGATTAGGAGAGAGTCTTGAGGCAGCAGTTACAAGAGTAGGAGTTAGCTGTGAGACAATCGCTGTCCAGTGAGGACGTGAACACGGAAGCTACTGCGTTGGAAGCCATTACCAGGCAACGACCGGTGAAGATACAAGTACAGCAGACTGAGAAGACATCGTACATGCTGTAGTGAATTGCAGAGTGTGTGAACTAGCAATAACGCTATACTTACTTGTAGTTACCAGTTGTGTGTACACATATAATTGTGCGGTATATCATATTACCAATCCAAACACTCTCTATACTCACACGTAATAAAGTGATAATATTCATACTTCAAAACCTCATTATCTTTCCACACTCTTTAAAGCACGTTTATTTCTTCTTTTATTCTGTGGTAATATGTAATTTATGTTGTTGGGAGCCACTGCTAGGCTGTTCAGATATCTGAATAGGCGTCTTTCATTAATCTAAATCACCAGTTAAACTCATATCCAAAGTGTCAGTGGGCTTGAGCACGCAATTGTTATGGCAAGGGTTAATCTTCCCGAAAAAGTGTTTCCGTTTGAGACATACCGGGTGGGTCGTGGCGCCAATTATGCCGTCTGAAATGTTTGTGGGCGTCATTCCATGAGAATGTCGGAGCAGTACTTCAAAACAACCTGAAATGTTTCATCCCTCACTTAATTCACTGTAAATATTCGCACTTTAATCACATGGCGTACAATTACCTTTCGAACCGAATCAGTATTGTTCATTACCTAACTAACTAAATTAAGTAGAGTTGTTCTTCTGAATCCTAGATGTTAGAGACATTCCGCAAATTTTAAGGATCACAAGAGCCTCTCCATCCCACTAGGCCATATCCTGAACCAGCTAAATTCTGCCCACACCTTTATATATTATTTTTTCTTCCTTGGCACTACAGCCCCAGTGGGCCTAGGCCTACCTCCATGAACTCTTTACATCTTATATCATACAAAATTTAATTTTAATATTATTCTCCCATTTACGTTAGGATTCTCAAGAAGTGTTTTCCGTCAATATTATAGGACTAAATTTGTATATGTATTTTTCGATAGCTCGCACATGAGACGTGTCCCATCCGTCTCATCGCTCATGATTTGATCAATTCAGTTACGAAAATAGAATAAATAAATACCAGCATCTCAGAGACTAGGCAACGGCCAACATAAATGACCTTATGGAACGAGTCATCCAGTGCTGTATGACTAACTCTCTCGACTTAAACGGTTTTAGTTTCAAATTTCTGCTTGGTTAATGACTGACCGCACAGATTCTCGAAGGTTTCCTTGCTTATGTCCAGGAAAATAATTTCAGATGAACCACGATCGACTCCTTCCAAATCTATTCCTATTCATCGATATGTTCTATTGATCTCATTTCGTGATACGCCTGTACAAAAGTGGCGGGTGTAATTTTCATAGTGTAGTCCATGACCGCCTCTGTGGTCTAGTGGTCAAGAGTTCGTGGCTACAGATCCAGATGTCCGGGTTCGATTCCCGGCGCTACCAGATTTTCTAAGAAGTAGTGGGTCTGGAACAGGGTCCACTCAGCCTCGTGAGGATGACTCAGGAGCTATTCCAAGGAAACAGCGGCTCCTGTCTAGAAAATCGAAAATTAACCGCCGTAGGGTTTCGTTGCGCTGACCACGTGACACCCTCTATCCGCTAAAAGCTGGCACCGACTTCGCCGACAAGTGGTGGTCGCTCGGCCGGTATAGTTCGCTTGCGGACTACAGGCCACGGAATTTGTTCTTTTTTATTTTAGTTATCAATGATTCTTCCTCTTCCGCGTGTTATGTTCTCTGTTCTAATCGTATTCAGACAGCGCATGCTGCAGACGTGTGACCGGACTCATTACACGGAGGATGAAGCCATCACAAAGGCTATACCTACACGAGACAACGGGACACGCAAGAACGTAGAACTATATTTATAATTCGGTGGAGATTTCAACCCGTGATCCCAGTGCGTGAGCAGTCAGAAACTGTATGCTCCTTGAAAAGTAGAAATACTTTTGTAAGATATGAGGCTTTCACGGCGGTGACTATGAAGAAAGCAGTCTTCTGGGATTTGGCACCGTGTATAAGTGGTGTTAACCGACGTTTCGGAGGAACGTATCGCCTCCATCTTCACGGTAGAAGAAAAAGTATAAGAAATCTGCAAGCGACAAGGCCGTGAGAACGGTAAAAGCAGTCTGCTTTTACCGTTCTCAGAAGAAGGTATTATCCCAGGGTTCTTCCAGCTCAGTGGTTCTTAACCCTTGTGAGACCGCGGCCCGGTAATTTTTTCCCTACCAGTATAAGACGGGGGGCCCGGTACCGTGCCGCGGCCCGGCGGTTGAGAAACACTGTCCTATAAGTCTGTAGAACTTCGCCACATCTCTAAGATAGCTGCAACATAGAAATTTACGTGTACACTATAACATTCACTCCTGTAATGTTAGCACAATTCCGACAGAGGAAGTCTGTGAACAAATCACCAAAAAGTTAGGTGATTCTCAAATTGTTTGTCGTAATTCTTTCATTCATTACCGCGATTATGTCGGTCATTGTTTATTGCCTGATATCTAATTATATTTCGCATAATTATATGCTAAATAGGTCTAGTCCGGTGTTCATAAAGTTGGAGTTATGACTCGTTATTTTTCGGAAAGCCTGTACGTCTCTCTCATCGGGGCTGTAGTCGATACTCAGCGGTCCAGGGCGGCGCCCTTGTGCTTCTATGAACGCCGAGGCGCCGCCTTGGTACTACTATTAAAGGCACTGATGTGCAACATAAAGTTCTTGTAGCTTTTTTGATTTTCAGCCTCTCAGTTGAAAGCATCAATCAGCCTTCTGAATTATGAGTATTTCATGAGCTCAGCTTTGTTCATTTATGCCTTTACTTAAAAGCGTAAAACTGTCGTTCTGTAAGGGGGACGTCTCCATATCGGAAATTATACCAATATATTTTAATCCTAAACTGCGTACAATGACGTAATATTTTTATTTTAGGACTACACCCCTACTGGTCTTCTTCGGCCAGTGTAAAATTTTGATTTACAGTAGAAATAAGAGAAGAAAAATGGAAGTCGGACTGGAAGCCCTGCTATAACGAAACCTTTGGTAACCGTTTCCTAATAAATATCTTATCCCTCAGATGACAGGTACGCGTATGTTTGACACACCGCAGTGTCTGGGGTATGGCCTCTATTTGACACACTCTCAAACTGTTTCGGCTATGTTCCCACTTTTTATATGAAGAACTGAACATGTCTTTAGGTCATATGTCGTGCTGATTATGCATATTGTCACGTGTTCGAATAGATGTTGACAGGGTCTGGATTGGTAATTGGATTTACTGAACACTTACAGACCGTAACTATAAGTAACTATAGCGCTATTGCTAATTCACATACTGCACAGTTCACTACAGCACGCACCGAGTCTTCTCAGTCTGCTGTATCTCCACCGGTTGCCTAGTAACGGATTCCAACGTCACAGCTTCCTCAGCTTCCGTGTTCAACAGCTTCTGTCCTCGCTGGATGGCGGCTATCTCACAACTATACTCCATATTGCTACGTAACTACTTGCAATAGTGGGGCTCCTCCGCCTTTCGTGTCTCCGCCAGGGGCGACTTTCTGCGACAACCTCTGACAAATCTGTCTCCCAACTGCTAGCTACAGACTCGGTGCTCTGTAGACATCGCTAAACTCTCTACTGGCTTCTGTCCGTCGGTTGACTTCTCCCGTTGGTCCTCGTGATATAGCCTCGGGACGGGCCCAACAGAAAACACTGCTTCCAACATTTCATTTTATTGCTGCATGACGTCACTATCGAAGCGGACCGGTTACATTGCATAGCGTGACTTATTCCATTGTTGCGTCACTGTTTATTCTTCCATAACCTAGTAACGTGCATCTCTTATGATTAAACAATTCCGACTTTGATCGGACATGCCACAATGTACTGAGTTATAGTGTCATTATAAGTTAAATTTAAATTTCTCTTCTCCTATGCAGCTGTTGGGTTGGCGTAAATAAGATTTCTTGTATGTAAGAGTAGGTTTGTTTCTTATAATTGAAGTTCGTGATATGAACTCCTCATTAGATGTGGTAATCACATTAAGAATGGTGATATGGGAAGGAAATTTAATATGAAAAGCGGAAATAAGAAGCGATTAATAAATTTTATCCCGAAAATCGTATGAAAGGACAGCACCTTGAATAGATATGCTCAGACAGAAGGATGTTATTAGAATTGTGTATCTTTAAAAGCAGATCGGGAGGTTGTGGTCTGAAAATAATTCAGGACTGGACCCAACTTCCGGCTCATATGAACATGGCAATGAACCCTGGGTGCAGAAGAGGGATGGAACATTCCCTTACCATTTGGCGCTTAAGGTTCTAAAGAAGAACCCTGCTCCACGTTTATTTTGTTATGTATTCACTCTTGAAACACATATTCAGTCACCATACAGACAAACCATGGTAAGGAACTGCGTGCCACCTCAGCACCCACCATAAATTTACCGTGTTCGAAAACTGGACTGGAATCAGAGACCCAGCAGGCAAACTTCAATAAGTTCTGTGTCATCTACTTCAGCCCTTATCTGAGTCCTTTCCTGAAGAACTAGAGACCAGATGGATATGAAGATGAGTGTATGTATTTGCTGCTGCGACCTGACAAAGGTTACGCCCTCTCTGTTTTGTGATCGTACTCTGTGTTCTGGCGTTACAGTCGCTGGATGGATTCGCCTTCGCGCTGGCGGCGGACGGCCGGTTCCTCTACATTTCCGAGACTGTGTCCATCTACCTGGGGCTGTCACAGGTTAGTAACGCTATACATAAGTACTATATCCATACAATGAAAGGCAAGTTACTCGATTTAAATTTTTCGCTCAAGACAAGAAGAATCAACACACACAGAAGCATAAATTTCGTAGTTATTTCTTATGGGTGTTATGGTCTCTGACTATGGAGGAAAAATATAAAATAGATATTTTTGATGGCTGTGCTGAAACAGACATTTCAGTCTTTGAAGGATGAATTAAGGTGACAATTTGAAATATTGTATTTGGTTTAAATCTTTCACTGCGAATAGGTCATAAAAATCTTCTTGGGCCATCAACCTCGTCATGGTTGATATAAAACCCGACGTTTCGGCGACTTTGCCTCCATCGCATAGTTTTATTCTCGACCAGCGTGTCCGAACCCCTTAGCAGGAAGTGCCTGTGACCACGGTTTCCCATCCAGCCACGGAATGCGTGTGTTTTCGTCACTGTACGCGTCAGTGAAATGAATGGGATTAACGGACTGCCAAAGTTCTATTTCCGACAGATGTGCTGGGAATTCATCTCTTGGGACAACCCACTCAGCCTTTCTTCCCAGTATTTGGGCGCCTCTTTCATGGAAATAAATGTGGCCGGTTACTGCAAAGTAGACTCGTATGAACAGTCTTGTTAGTACGGACGTTTCGGCTGTCTCTGACTTCAATATAAGGATAGATATCCACTCTTACATCAGTCCATGATTAAGCTCTGATAAAATTATGAGATATATTCTTTCAAGCTAAATACCTCCCGAATACAAGAGATAGAACGTAAAACTTCTTATTTGGAAGATACCGGATTTTAAATCTCGACCCAGAGACCGTCTTTCCGGTTCAATATTTTCGTGGTTTTACTAAGTTCGTCCAGGAAAATGCTGGGATAGTACATCAAGTTAGGTATACGACGAGTCCCTGCTACATCCTTTCCAATTCATAATTTTCTAAGCAACCTGTCGTTGGATCTTACATCATTTCACTTATTGAAATTGCCGCTAAACAAACCATAAATAAATAAAAAACAGAAGTGGGGCGTGGAAGCTGAGAACAGATCAGAATGGATAGAGAACTTAACCTAACACCCTAACACGTCTTAATAGCGTGACGCGTATGTATCTGCAGGGACAACTGCCCTCTACGAAGACGCAACTTTTATCTCGATGAGCCTACGGGAAAGTGCTGTTCGGAATGTTGCAGTGTTTCCCCTTACGCTGAGGCCAGAACTTGACAGCTACTTCGGTACGGTACAAGCCATACTGTAGGCTCAAGCTTATAGACTCGCAAGCTGCACCTGGTATTTTAACAATACTTGTATTTCCTCTTTCTCTTTTAGGTTTTATACTGTCTTTGATGTCTTCGTCGTATATAAGAGATAGCTGGGTGGAAAGTTTTCAGTGGGAGTTTCTAGAGGGGTGGGAGGTAGGTTGGAAAGTTGGGCGTGGGTTAGAAGAGGCAGTAGGCTACTTCGGTCCCTCCTCCTTGTACCATATTTCCTTTTTCTGTTTTCAGTTCTGTTTCTCAGCCTTGTTGACAATTCTTTCTAGGATATTTTTCTTCTCCTTCACATTACGGGATTGTCGTCATGTTTCCTTTGATATGTTTCCTTCGCTCTTTTCACTTCCTTCAGTTTCTTCATTGGCCATCGTTTTCTTGATCTTCAGCATTGCATTTTCCTTGCCTAATTTTCTTATTTTATGTTAATTTGTATTGCTCTTCTTCTGCCTCAGTTTCTTCTCCCATGTTACCATCCTTTACTTCTTTTGCTTCATTTATACTTCTTTTATCTTCTTTATCCTGTGTACCTACCAGAATTTCTTTCTGTTTCTTTTCTCGTTTTAGCTATTTCCCTGTCTTACTTTGATGTCCAATATCTGTTCTCTTTACATATCCTTTGTCTCTGTCATTCTTATTTGGATTCCTCTTTTAGACGTGTTCCCTTCTTTGTCACTTTGATGGTGCTATCAGCAGCCTTCTCTGTCTGTGTTTCGCCGCTAGAAGCAGAGAGACCAAGCAGCTAGCTATAGTGAGCGCCGTAGCCGTATGCTCCTCACGTACACGTCTGCAGAGTCGTGTCTGCCATTCCTAATGCCGGCAGGAAGGTTTACAATCAATAGGGTGCTACTGCCGGTACGTGGAAGGGGACAGGGGCGTAACATGGCCGCCACAAGAGGCAAAGCCCCTTGCTGGTATGGCACATCCTATAGTGAGGACCGAAAATACATACTTGGTCACTATATGTAGATTACGGAAATATTCTGCGTTACCGGTGCTACGGAATCAAATTTATTAAAGTTGTCTATGCTGGATCTGAGAAGTTGTGACACGAAACAGGCGGGAGAGACAAATCTATTACTGCGGATAGAAATGTATTTCTGCAAAGCTATGCACGTTACGAATACCTCACTGTATTATCAGAAATTATTTCACACATTATTCTGTCTGCCTGTCTATCTATCTGTCTGTCTGTCTGTCTGTCTGTATGTCTTCCTGTTGCTCCCACTTGGGGCATAGGGCATTCGTGAAACGCTTCGTTTCACTTCCGTTTATTAATCTATACACAGTCGGTATGACTCCTTGAAAGGGGATCAGCCCGTCGCAAGGCCGCTACCCACACAGGACAACACAAATACAGAATAAACACACATACATCCATGCTTTGAGTGGAATTAGAACCCACGATCCCAGCATTCGAGCGAGCGAAGATATTTCATGCCTTAGACCGCGCGGCCACTGTGGTTGGCTCTCAAAATATTAACCATATCGAACATACTTATCATAAAATAGTGAATTTTAACGATACCTCTGTTTTGTGAAAACAGGAGTGTCACTTTTTGGATAGTAAGCCATGTATGACGTTATTGAGAAAGTCTGCTTTTAGCTTCGTGCAAATTATAGGTTATATTTTACGGATGCGGACCAAAATAAAATTCATTTTACAAATTTAGTGTGATCATAGATCTTTAACATTAAATTTCGTAGACTTTTGTTCACCAGTTCCGGAAGGGCAATCGGTTATCACTCCTGTCTTACACTAATGCTTTTCGTGCAAACCTGACTGCAGGCTGTTCACGTGAAATTACTCTTTTCCTATGGTCTGATGTCATGTTAAGTTTGTAATGTCGTGTAAATGCATATTTGGGGGTGTAGAAGCGATTTTATGCCTGAAGTGTAGAGGTGTTGAGTGGGTTTAAACTATAAATTCGCACATTATTAAGGCATGATCTCGAAGCCGTATTTAAAAGAGTTTTATTTTAGATTCTGTCCTGTTCAGTGAAGGCATGGTATTACCTGAATTCTCAGTGTTAAGACAGAAACCACGGCGAGCACCAGGCTGTAGCCCATCATACAGAGGGGCCCCCAAAAAGTATACATAATATAATAGCGGTTATCTCCGGATATTTGCAAAATTGAACGGAAATGTAATGTGCAGTATGCAGTACGATACTCTTTCAAAAGATGGTGCTAGTCACATGAATGCCAAACCCACCTTATCGAATGGCAGCAGAGGGGTGTGTGTGTACATTTTTTGGATCCCTCTGTACCAGGCGGATAGATTCTAAGGAAACACGCACACGGATAGAAATACACTATTACGTCGAAATGTCATTTTATACTTTTTGAGATAAGGTTCATGATACTGTGACGCATATGTCCATTGATAAGCAACGTCTCTATAAACACCTTCCCAGCGAGACAGATTCTGGGTAAACAGCCCATTGTCAGGTAAACCCTAGAACAGTACGCCCGAGGCTATATGACAGTGAGTGCTCTGGCTCCAGTTAGTTCAGTTAACAGGGTTCGATCCCGGGTCTGGCCAAGTGGGATTTGTGGTGGACAAAGTGGCGCTGGGGCAGGTTTTCTCCGAGTACTTCTGTTTCCCCTACCAATATTCATTCCACAAATTGCTCCACAATCACCCTCACCTATCACCTGGGGCTGGTAGAATAGGCCAGAAGTGGCCGCAGTACAAAGAACTTAGTCCCACCCCACTAACATAAAGAAAATAGTTCAGTTAAAGATAGTAGTAGATAAAAATTGATTTGAGTCCTAGGAAGAAGTTTTCGGCCGAAGAGTTATTGTGTCTTATTGTAATTTATTGTGATTGCGAGTGATCGTACAAGGAGTGATCAATAAATCCAGTTACTTGTTCAAACCCCATCTTATAAGTCACTTATACACGTGACAGTACTCTTACTGTTCACGTTCACAAATTTCGCCGGAAATATGTAGACATATGGAGGTAGGTATTGAAGAATATTTTTGAGTTCAGGGAAAGTGAACAGGCTATATGAGCCGGGGTAGCTCTCAGTCGCATTTTGGAGCACCCAGCCTCCTGTCAAAAGAGCTGTCCCTGGAGGGATAAATCGGTCGGAGTGTGAAGATAACCGCCCACATCGAGGTCCTCTATAGTGCCGAGGTTGTGAGAATGAGAGATTTACCTGCGCCTCCTCTTTACGCATTCCGACACGAAGAAGTCTGCAATTTTGCTTTAGTAAACGGAACATTACTTCAGATGGCAAACTGATACAAAACTGCAGTGCCATCATCTGAGATGTTCTCGCAAAACAGACAGAACATTTGGATATACCGGCTTAGCTATATATATATTATATTATAATATATATTATTTATTATACTGCAATTGGGTTTTAGCCCGGTGGCAGTCGTACACAATAGGACACAACAGACAAGTAACACACATTACACTAAGTGACAACGCGTTCAAACAAAACACAATACACAAAACACAACAATAAGGACATCCTACCACAGTGAATACAAACGAAATACGATTAACAACTACAACAATTACAGAGAAATACAAACAACTGTAACAAATACAACAACAACAACAACAAGGACATCCTACCACAATGAATACAATGAATATGCGAGAAATACTATCGTACTTATATAACTACAAATTACTTAAGTCAGCCGGTCTCAAAAAATACCTTTTACGGAAATCGTCTATTCATTACTGGATTTACAAATGTCAAGCATTGAACAGTTGAGCGCAAGAGATAAATATAAAATAAAAATGTTGGGCATGTAAAAGATGAATAGGCTCTATAAGTTTGGAGAGCAGTGTTGAGCCCCTCGCTTCCTGTTTTCCAAAATATAGTTTTTAATATTGTCTTCTCATCTGTGCCAAATATCTTAGGTGGTCTCTCCCATGGGGTTATTCAACTAAAGTAATCCTACTGTATTTATTTTTCTTTAGGCTTATGCAATGTCGCCAGCACAGAAAATATTTAAAAAATTAGTCGACACGGAATGATATGCCTGTGTCTTTAATAATTAGAAAAGAGAATAGGCAAAAAAGCCCTTGTTTGTCAAATTATGATCATGAAGTGCTTCTCATATGTTAGCCCGCTTGTCATACTACTGAGAACCTAAGATGGAGTTCACAATGCCAATCAGACAAAATGGCCGCGTGTGTAATACAGCTTGCTTGTTCCTGTGTGAGGATTTGTGAAACCTGCAGATGTGGGAAGTCCGGTGCAGGTGTCTATTCTTACCAGACCCTCGTGCTCGTCACTCAACTACGTGAGTAGTTAATAAAATATTTCCCTTCTTTTCCTTCGCTAACAAAAGCCCACGGCTCCCTTTTCAAGAATGCTGCTTATTTGAAACTTGCTGCTTGCAGGTTGATGAGCGTTGAAACCAGAAATATTGAAACACTTCAAATAAGAGAACCGCCTCTTTCATTCTAATGATTCAAGTCTACAAATTTTGATATGTCTAATTACTATCTTTCAGTGACAGATTGTAATATGCAACAAATAATCATAAAAGAGCTATACATTTCGAGGTCCTGCACATAACTAAATGTGTTTCACACTGATGAATTCTTATATCGCAATTATTCTGGCTGCTGGCAATTGTCTTGACATATTTTATAAGCCTGATGCTTTTAATTAGCTTGTATTTGAGGTCCTGAGCAGTTCTCTACATGTGCAAAATCTGTCAGTAAGCCTACTGCTTTATACACCGTTACTTTGCATCCCTCAGCTATGAACGTTGAAACTATCTCTGCATTTATACGAACGGGAGGAAAAAAAAACTCGAGCGACGAGAAGTTATAGAAACTAAAATTGAACCATGAACAGGCCTACATTCGAAATTTATATCTTCCGAATGGAAACTTAAATCTTTTCCTTTACACCAAGTCGATCGGTGACTTTGGTGACCATTCATTCATTCTCATTTCCTCAGACTTCCTCTGGAGCATAAGGCATTCGTGAAAAGCTTCATTTCACTTCAGTTTCTTAATCTTAAGGCAGTCGATAGGACTCCTTAGACGGGGGATCTGCCCATCCAATGATGCTACCTACACAGGACAACACTAACAGAATGAAAGTATACAAACATATATGTCTCGAGTGGAATTCGAACACACTCCCCCATAGTTCGAGCGGGCGAAGACAGTTCATGCCTTAGACCTCGCGGTCACTGTGATCGGTGTGTGACTATTAAGTACACTAAGATATTTCTAACTTGCCGCGGGATTCTTACCGACGACCGTACGAGCCGAGAAGAGGCTCAGGACGACGTGGAATGAAGTTATACTTGTGCACAGGCACAGCTCCGTTAAAGCATTTATTCCTGTATAATAATATCAGAACAAATGGGGAAAACAGGAATGCATATAGGATATTGGTGGGGAAGCCAGATGGAAGGAGACCACTGGGAAGACCAAGGCGTAGGTGGGTGGACAATATTAAAATGGATATTGGAGAGATATGATGGGATGGTATGGATTGGGTTGATATGGCTCAGGATAGGGACCAGTGGAGGGCTGTTTTGAGCACGGTAATGAACTTTCGGGTTCCATAAAATTCTGGAAATTCTTGAGTAGCTACATAATTGGCGGCTCCTCAAGAAGGGCTCAGCACCATGAGTAAGTGAGAGTACGTGGTAAGCAATAATATCCAAATCCCCGAGATTGTGTGTTGAAATGCTGTAACTACAAATTTATTCTAAATTATTGTCGGGGTTTCCGTCAGCTATAATTTTCAAAACTCTTAATATGCCATTAAAAGCGCGCAAGTTGAAGTTGTTTAGCATTCTGCAGTATTTATTCTATAAGTAATAAATCCCTTTGAGTTACGCTTTCATATTTCCTAAGCAGTTTTTCTTATTATTTTCCAGTTTGAAGATTAAAGGTCACGGACACCCCGACAGTAATTAAGAAAAACCCTGTATTTTCAAACCAGTGTCACAAGCCTGAATAGTGTGTACGTCTACAGAGTGGAGGATTCGCCCTCCGCTGTCCTGCCACTGTCAGTGCAGAATTCAGCAGGACCAGCGAGATCAATAATCTTTTTCTCTTTGGTATGAAACGTGTCTAATTTCTGTAGCTGTAGGAGCAGCCAGCTGATTCCGAGTTCTTTAGTTGGACGTTCCCTGGAAAACTTGTCATTCCTCCTGTATACATAATATATATATATATATATGAGATTTCTATATTTCTAAAGGAAGAGACAGCCTCAGATGTCATTATGTTAAAACATAAATGTAATTCATAAACTGAAACATAATAAACATCAAATATATTTCAGTCCAAATTATTATTTCCCAGTATGCCTATGTGAAATTTGTAAATATATTGTCGGAGCTTAATTCAATAGTGTTCGCAGTTCATAAAGGAGTAAGTAATTTACCAAATATTCTCATCATGCAAAATTTAATCACTATATTACGAGTATAATTATATAATATTACTATGATTTACGGTATCCGTCCTTCTGTCCGTCACTCTCTCCATCTCGAAAGCTAACAAGCCCTGATAACAACGCATAAGTGTAAACACACGTTATTAATTTTTGGAGCGAATATTCGGAAATCTCTTAATTTTGTGGTTTATTTCGATTCGAAGCCAATTTAAACAGAATTTATATTACGGAAAATTCTCACACACACTCATGAGGACATGAGCTCTTCTTCAGAAGCAGCCAATTATGCAGCTACTCAACAATTTCCCAGAATTTTGTGGAACCCGAAAGTTCATTACCGTGATTACAAGAGCCCTTCACTGGTCCCTATCCTGAACTAGATCAATCCAATCCACACCATCCCATCCTGTCTCTCCAAGAGCAATTTTAATATTGTCCACAGACCTATGTCTTGGTCTTCCCAGTGATCTTCTCTTTTCTTCCGGCTTTCGCACTAATATCGTATATGCATTCCTCTTCTCCCCCATTCGTGTTACATTCCCTGCCAATCCCATCCCCCTTGACTTAATCATTCTAATTATACTTGGAGAAGAGTACAGTTATGAAACTCATCATTACGAAGCTTTCTCTCCAACCTCCTGTCACTTCATCTCTCTTCGGTCCAAATATTCTGCTCAACACCCTGTTCTCAGACACCCTCAGTATATTCCTCACTTAATATCAGAGACCAAGTTTCACACCCATACAGAACCAGAGGCAAAATTATAATTTTGTATATTCTCATTTTTATGTGTTTCTACAGCAGACAGAAGACAGACGGCTCTGGACTAAATGGTAACAAGCATTGCCCGAGTTCAGTCTCCTCTTAAAAAGAAATAAACAAATACCTGAATAAATAATCAATATGAAACAGAAAAAATCGTTGTATTTTGTCTGGTATAAATTATAATGTTGAATGCTAGCATGATAATTAGTTAATATGGAAAAGTTGTCTTTTATGACTGTATAAAATCCCAGTTTTTGCCAACATGGCTCCAGAACATTTTAAAACACGTGTGGGCACGTTGGCTGTCTTCTCGCTTCCGTCTGTGAGACTGGACTGAGCAAATGTATCGCCAAACGCATGATATCAATGAACTGTAAGGAACAATGACGTACTTTCAACGAGTTTCAGTATCGCACGGAAATGTCCATAGAACTATCTAAGTGTACATAACGTATGAGCCAGTAGGCCTACATTTATTTATTTAGCTAAGTAGGACCTATGTACCTAAGTAACCTGTTACTATGATGACAGACATAAATTCACTAATATAGAAAGCTGATTATAGTGAGTGGTGATTTTCTACGAAGGCAGTGCCGAATGTGGTCGAATAGGGCTGCCACTTGAAGTACCATAATGTGCAATTCCCACATTGTAGGATATGTTCCGGGTTGATGATCACACAGAAAATCACAGTTTATAATAAAACAAGCGAATAATCTATACGTTTATGGTGTGTAATGTTTTCTACCTACAGCGGATTAGATTATATACAGTGTCTGTTATTATTTATCTCCTGAGTTTGAGTGTTTATAATGTCATTAGTCAGTGTGCCGCCCTTATTTTGGGAGTTACATTGTATGCAATATTTCTTGTCATACAGTCCGTTAGACTGTCATACAGTTCGTGAGTTAGACTGTATGCAGTGTTGTCATAGAACTTGTGCGTTAGATTGTGTGCAGTGTTGTCATAGAATTTGTGAGTTAGATTGTATGCAGTGTTGTCATACAGTTCGTGAGTTACGACAGTATGCAGTGACTTGTGAGTTTATATGCAGTGATACATGTCACACAGTCCATGAGTTAGACTGTATGCAGTGTTGTCATAGAACTTGTGAGTTAGATTGTATGTAGTGTTGTCATAGAACTTGTGAGTTAGATTGAATGCAGTGTTGTCATACAGTTCGTGAGTTACGACTGTATGCAGTAACTTGTGAGTTTATATGCAGTGATACATGTCACACAGTCCATGAGTTAGACTGTATGCAGTGTTGTCATAGAACTTGTGAGTTAGATTGTATGTAGTGTTGTCATACAACTTGTGAGTTAGATTGTATGCATTGTTGTCATACAGTTCGTGAGTTACGACAGTATGCAGTAACTTGTGAGTTTATTTGCAGTGATACATGTCACACAGTCCATGAGTTAGACTGTATGCAGTGTTACTCTTGTAACTGTAATGTTGTGTGCTTGGCTGCAGGTAGAGATGACGGGAAGCAGCTTCTTCGACTACGTCCACCACCAGGACCACGCGGAGGTGGCTGAGCAGCTGGGACTTGGGCTAGCTCAGGGCCAGAATCTCTCGTCGCCCAACAGCGCGGGCTCCGAAGAGGGCGTCAACTCCAACACCGGAACCAACAACCCGGACGGTAAGCTCTGCTTCCTGACCCGCTAAACCGAGAGGAAGGAATATAAAACTAATTTACAGGTCGAGGGCATGACAAGTGAATTTCTGTTGCCGTACGTAGTTGGTACGTATTTCAGCGAAATCGTGACATCATGCCAGTAGTAACATCCTGACAATGTGCGTGTATTATTTTCTACTGTAAGGATTACAAGCATGGCAGCTGTATTAACTTCTGAGAGTGGATGACGCTAGTAATACACGAGTATATGCCTAATACGGGGACACGAAGACTGGATTGTGCTATAGATGTTCGAATAATGTACAATTTGTTTACTATCATGATATGCAGAATGTAACACCCCAGTCTTATGTACCAGTGCCATGCATTTAAACAGTTTTACGTGTCGACCTACTTACGATTTCTCACGAACTGCGGGTCACCTTATATATTTTCAAGTGTATGAGTGACTCTAGAAGGGGTTTTGGATTGGAAATTGTTAATTATAGACTATTTACAGGTCGTAACTACAAATCACTACAGCGCCATCTCTGCTCTTCACACTTTATAAATCACTAGAGCACACGCTGTTTTCAATCTGCTGTGTTCAACTTCACCAGTTGTTCCCTGGTAACGGCTTCTAACAGTGGGGATTCTTCAACTGCAATGACAAAGTCTTCTCTTTCTAGACTCTCTTACAACTCTCTGCCAACTCACTCTGTTACATCTAACTGAGTCTGAGTCTTATGTTATGACCGACGGTCAGTCGTCCAGTCTGTCTTGGAAGAAAGCACCGATCTGGGACTTAATGACAGGTTTTTATTACCGTCTAACAGTTGCGGAGTTTGTTGATGTGAAGCTGTCTCTCTCTGACGAGAGGACGGGTCTGTCGTTCTCAATTTCTGTTGGCCCTCGCCAGAGAAGTCATTTTCGGTTCCGAGTCACGTGGGACGGGCGACCATATTTTACTGTCTCAGATTCCAGACTTCCCTTTTCATCGCCTCTCGCAACTCGCAGAGCTAGAGTGGAGGTATTCGACCCCGCCTCCACACGGGATTTCTCTTTCAACAAACTTCTAAATTTATCTCGGTTATAACGTCAGAACACGGACCGAATAGAAAAAAATCGTTCATTGTTGTACCCCAACCGTTTCCTTGGGAACGTGCCTGTTTGCGAAGGCGTTACTCAGCAACGGCTGCGTATGCTTGTTTATTATTCTGTCCCTTAGCAGCAGAAGTTGTTCCGTTGTTTCTTTCGAGGTCGTTGCACAGTAACGGATCTACCCACTACAATATATTAACCTCTCTGTATGAGTGTGAAACTTGGTTTCTTGCCTTAAGGGTAGAATTGGGAAAGAAATGTTGAAGATAATATTTGGACTTAAGAGATAATAAATTATAGGAAGGTAGAGAAAATTTCACAACAAAGAACTTTGTAATTTAGACGTTGGATAGTAAACTATTTGGACATCAGGATTTCTGTGACCTTGGATATAACGCTATATAGTCCGTTGACAACTTGACGTTTCAGAAAAATATGTAATCTCCATCTTCAGGCTTGAAGAGTAAGCCAACAAGAAACCAGTATGATGAAGGCAGCAATGCTGGCTCCTTGTTTGGCTTACTCTTCAATCCTAAAAATGGATGCGATATTTTCTTCTGAAACGTCGGTTAACTTTCAGAGGACTCTATGGCGTTATACCCCAGAAGAAGAAGAGCTCTTCATAATGACCGCTGTGAGAACCTCGGGTTCTACATAGTCACTGGAATGATGAATCGAAGTAAATGAGATGGGCGGGGCATGTAGAATGCATGAGAGGTATACAAAGAAGTTTAGCCTGAAAAGAAGACATCGCTAAAGGGATATGCATATTACGGATGGATAACATTGAAATGGATGCTAAAGAAATCAAATATGAAACGATCTATTTCAACTGATTCAGTTAGGGCCCAGTGGAAGGCGTTTGTAGTCGCGGTAATAAACCTTCAAGTTCCAGTATAGGCATAGGATTACTTGGTTACCTGCGCGACTATCAGCTTCTGAAGAATGGCTCAGATCCATGGAGTCTGTTACTAATTTCAGCGTCATCATTTCTAACAAGATGCATGGAATAAAACTGTTGAATAAATAAATATAAATCTTGGCACGCACGAATGGGCGGGATATCCCACTGTTAGCGTTTACGTCTGCGTTTTCAGCACGTCACACTGACGCAGGCGCGATGTTGCTTCAACTCCGAAAGTGACGCATGAATTTGACTCGGATGACGAAGCCTACTATGCAGATCTTAATCAAAAAGCAACTTAACCCTTTAAAGACCGAATTTCTTCCAAAGTAAATATATAAATGCAGTCCGTACCTCACAGGAAACACATTGTGTCTCCACTACAAAGCCCAGCTGGTTAATACTGTTTTGGGAAATATCCGATGCTTATTGTGAGAACCATATGAAACACACACATACACAGTGTGGGCAGAATGCAGAATTCTAGTATGTTAAACCAGGTCGTGGATATAGTAACCATTAGGCTTTAAAAGGTTAAAAGACATCCGTTTGGTGGCAAAATCCTGTGACTGTGACAGCACAGACTTTCTGAACCTGTTGCGTATGCTTCGAACATACCGACCCATCCATTAATTCTCCTGAATAATGCGTAAATTAATGCTGCTAGGACAGAGAGCATACTGACATACGATGTTCTGTATTTCAAAAACATTTTCGTCTTCATCATATTTTTGTGTTACAAAAGGAGAGACCGGTTATGAAGAATACCGTCTTCTGGGGTGTGTCACCATGTATATCTTGTTTTAACCGACGTTTCGGAGGAGCATACCGCCTCCGTCTTCAGGCTAGAAAAATCTGCGAGCGAGGAACCATCGTGAGCAGGTGGCTGCCGATTGCATCACCCTGAAGATGGAGGCGATATGTTCCTAAGAAACGTCGGTTCACACAAGATTTACACGGCGCCACATCCCAGAAAACGGCTTTCTTCATAATGACCTCCGTGAAAATCTCAGATCTTACGAGAGACCAGTTGATTTGAAGACCTTCCGTTTTCAGGCTTTCGGAATCATATTTTGGACAATTGGAAGGACTGTTGGAACGATGGATTGGCCTGCACAGAACACAGAATTTTGTGGGTTATTTAACGACGCTTTCTGTAACTAGACTAATTTACATGGCGTCAAATGGGTGGGTAGTAAATACAAATAGAAATGATTTTTAAGGAAGCGGTTCCTAGCCTAGTCGAGGTACTGCCTCAATACTTGCCTGGAGAGCCTGAGAAAACCGAGAAAATCCTCTGAGGGTGGACGCTACCCCGACCGAGATCCCAACCGAACACTTCCCGAATACGGGCCAAAAGCGAGTACCGCTGTGCCAACGCATTCTCTCACAGTCACAAAAGGAAATGCAGACACATCCATGGGATTCAAACCCACGTTTCCAGATTTCGACTACTCTGTTACATAAAAGATCTTCCTTGCGACAACAGATATTTTCTCTATGCTTCATATGATGAATTGCAATATATAAGGGAACGTACGTCTTTTCTTTGCAGCGGGGTTGAATTAATTTGTGGGGGAGCACCGTAGGTCTTTGGCCCGTCTCTTCTCCAGCATGTCAGAGAAGCTCATAAAGAAGATATGCACGCCTTTCTCTTTGTTCGTTATTCGCCGTGCTTCTCCACTCTCTTCTTCAACTTTATACGATTTCATAAGTCGAATCAGTTAAATGGTTAAAGGCTCAAGAAGAAACCCAAAGAACACGCCGTAGTTGATTTGCTTTTATTGAGTTCAGCACCTACGTCACTCTATCTCCTTAAAGCGTGATCTCTTATCATATCGATAAATCAATCAGCTGTTAGAAAGTCGATCACAAAAAGGTAGCCCTCTTCTACTGTTCCATTGTATCACAAGTTGTAACAGAATTGTTAAACTGAATTCTCATTTACATTCCAGTAGCGTGCTCTTCAGCGTGAAAGTCATGAGTGAGGAACTTTCATAAGGCGTTCCCAGAATCAGTCCCTATCAAACCATTACGAAACACAAATCGAGTTTATACGTTTCCTTAACTGCCACTAACTCTCTTTTTTCCTTTGCACAATACACATTGATTATTTTTACTGCACTGTAGAGACACTTTCGTTTGGACAGAACTGGACTTCTTCAGTTTCAACGAGACAGTTGAAGTAAATATCACTTCTATAACATAATCCCATGATACTAATTAGTAAGCTGAAAGGAAACGGCACCTTTCTTCCTCAATTATGAGAGAAAGTAACAGGAGACAGGAGAAAATTGCGTAATGTGCAGCTTCATTCTGTATTTCAGCATCCTGCTGCAAATCTTTAACCGAACGTCTGTGTATTCACAGTCCGTCAATATTGCAACAATTGTTTATTCACAATTTAACACTGAACACAAAATGTTTCGGCCATAGATGGCCACCTTCAGGTATCTTAATGTGTCCAACTGTTACACTGTTCTGAAGTTCGCTAAAATCGCGCGTTGCAGTCCACTTAAAATAACATAAATACGTGTAATTACTTAAATTTTTTTAAAATATTCTATTAAAAATAATAGAAAATTTTAATGGATTTTAAGTAATTATTTGTGTTATTTTAAGTGGACTGCGGCGAGCAATTTTAGCGCACTTCAGAACAGAGTAACAGTTGCACACATTAAGACACCTGAAGATGGCCATCTATGGCCGAAACATTTTGTGTTAAGTGTTAAGTTGTGAATAAACAATTGTTGCATTACTGACGGACTGTGAATACATAGACGTTTGGTGAAGCTTCATAATTTAAACCTTTAGCTAAAATTGTTAGGATGGTAAATAAGTACAGATGAATGGGGCATGGAACGGATGAGAACTACGTGCAAAATTTTATTCGAAGTTCCTGAAAGAAAGAGAACATAACTGAGATCTAGACGTAGACGGACGAATAATAAAATGGTTCTTAAACAGAAAGTGTGAGAGTGTGGACTGGATTAATATAGCCCGCGATAGGGCCCAGTGC